ACACATATGCTCCACAAAAATGACTGAATCACCTTTATCTTCCCCTTTCAGAAAATAACTTTAAAAATCACTCTCCAGTGCTCTGCTGTGCTTTGGGATGAACGGAGCTAGGAGAGTAAAGAAAGCAGTTATCAGAATCTTGTACCAAATACAACTCACACTGAATGAAGGTATTTTGAAAAAAAGCGTTTCTAAACTCTGAGCTAGGCTACAAATGAAAATTCATTTAAATATCTTAATCACCCCTGCTACATCACTCCCTGAGGAGAAGCTGCCGCATTCCAGTCGAGCTGGAATTCCAGTGGCGAGTGGGACAGAGGGGTTATTGCAGGTCACAACACAGAGACGCTGAAAAAACAAAGAAAAACCCATGAATCCTCCCGGGCTTAACCTTGCTTTTACCCTGATACCGATGATGTTTAAGCAAATTACCTTGTCACTATATTTTATATAGTATCTCATAGCAGTAACCATGTTTCCCCAAATAATTTTATTTCCTATCGGTTTACTTAAAAATGAAAATAAATAAGGGAGGGTCTTATATTGTAACATCCAACAAGAAATAAAATCTACCAAAGAACCTGTTATTTAATGCACAGATAAGTGATTTCTGACAGTTTCTGAGTTTGGGTACCAACCCTGCGTGTCTTTGGAACAGCATCTGACGAGCGCTAAGTCCCCACGCTGTGCAGTGACTACAAGTGATGCAGGGTGCTCGGCACTTCCCCAAACCCGACGTGAACACCTCACATTAACAGTTGTACCAACTTACCTGCTTATCCCTGAAATGCCAGATGCGAGTCAGGGCTCAGCAGTCAGACAGGCTGCAAGCTCCAGCAAGATGCACTGGGATAATGGAGGCCAGGTTTAGCTAACTTCAGGGAAAAAAAGTAATTGTTACCTACATTTCATATCTGCTCTAATAAAGTCTCATCAGTAGAAAGTGAGCAATACAAGTTTTATTTTACATTTTTCATGAACAAAGGCACGCAGGTCTATCAGACACACAGCTACATAAACGTGTATGTGCATTTATTTCAAAGAACACTTCCAGGAAATTTAATGTAATACAAGACTTTATTTTGAAATCAAACTGCCAGTGACAGCAATAATTAACTCTTAAGAATAAATCAGCCCACGGAACAGTTTTCAACAATGAGAATTCATTTCTTTCGGGTTGTCTGAAATGATGCTGTATCAGTATAGTATCACTGATGGAGGTTTAATCACACTTTCAGAAAAACAGTTGTATAAAAGAAGCATATAATCAAGCTCGACTTTCAGTCTTCGTATCATCTGTAAAAAAGAGAAGAATCACATGCTCAACTGCTGCAAGTACAGTATTATCTTCAAGAGGAAAAAGCAGTAACAGTTTGTGATACAACTTCAACGTAAAACTTAACATAGCCCCCCCAAAAGACCTGGAAATAATTACCAATTAATTAGCAATAATTAACAATTCACATCGGTATGTGGGCAAGTCTGGCTTCTGTTTATCTCGGTACATATCCCTTATATTTTCACACCGATGTAGGTTACTGCTTCTTTCAAGAAAAAGGAACTATGTATCTCTGAAGGCACACAAGTTTCCTTCAGATACATATACACAGGTATATATATGCAAATTATGTTATTATGCTTTCCTTAAAATATATACAATGTATTACAGTAAATCTGTATCACAGATTACAGCATCATAATGACTGCAAAATCAAAATTCCGCTAAACCAGTTTCACACAAACAGTTTTGTTTGCTTACACAGCATGACACAGAGTTTAAACCATGTGTAGCAGGCCATAAAAATCAAACTATTCACAGAAATTATGGATGTGTGTTTAAATGTCCTTTAGAATTAAGATCATAGCAAAGCTCAACAATGTAAATACCTCTTAAAATAAAAATAACACCTGACATTCCTTACACCTTGATTTGCAGATGTATTTATCTTAAACTGGACTCCAGTGGGATCTCCATTCCTCAATACAATCAGCACGTGTAACCACGTCTGAACTAACCACAAGCTTACCCATAGGATATGAGGCAACTTTGGGTATTTGATAAACATCACAATCTTTTTCTTATGGCCAGGAATAATTGCTTAAGACAGAACTGAGTCACCTTTGCAAGAAACAAATTAATTCCATGGAAAGGTACCAGGGTCTTCCGCTTTTTCCTGTACACTTTCTTACAAGAAAGTACATCAACAAAAAAAGTAAGAATGAAATGTTGCCTATTTGAATGCTTATTTTTGATGTATGTAATACGAATGGAATACAAAAAAACCTGAATATAATTAATTTACACTTAAACCTACGGATAGCTGCAAAATATTTAGCACTAACGTAAAAACAATTACAAACCTCTGAAGTGGGTTTTATTTTGCACTTACTTTTATGGTGCCTAAAGATTAACTGTTCACACTATTTTTAATAATCAGACACTGACACAAAGATTCAAAGCCTGATGAGGTTACAAATATCTGTAATTATGTCTTTGGTTTTGTTTTTAGGTTTTTAGTAAAAATGAAAATATTTAGAGACTTTGAAAATTCATAACACTTCTTTTTTCCATCTCCAAAAAAAGATATGTGGTAAGCAAAATGACCCTAAACTCAAGGTGTTTATTAACCATACAAATCTGAGGTCTATATGGTTGAACATTACTCAGCCACTAGTGAAAATGGATAATCAAAACATCCCACTTCATTGCTCTGACACAGCACATGATTATTACTCAAAGACATTTAAATTATTAAGTAATAAACATTAAAACACTCACTTAAAAACTTATACCATGAGATGTTTCAAATGGAAATTTACTTAATAACTGAAATCTCCTTTCTCTCTTGTGCAAAAAAATTACCTCATAGTGACTATGTCTACTGCAACAGGTATGAACAGTTACCTGCTCACTTCACCACATCGTGGCTACAGTGCCCAGTGGTTTGCTTGATTCAACACTTCCCATCCCAAAATACACTAAAAAAGAGAGATGGACGTTGGGGCTGAGTCACACTTGACCCTGACCGTGCTACTCTGACTAAAGGAGAATTTTAATTCATGTGAAGGCAGCAAGACAAAGTGCGTTTCTCTGACTGTCGGATGCTGAAGACAGCTGGTGGTGTAGTAGGTACCCACAGTACTCTCGAAGGAGATCAGGCTGCCCCTGGCAGAGGTGGGGTACTCTGTGGTGCCCCCATCACCACCAGTGCCACTCTTCTCTCCTCTGGGCCAGATCACTTCCTTCTGCCCTTGCTCCACGCTTCTGGTGCTCATATCTACGTGAAGAGCAAAGCTGGTGTGTGAAGTTAGCTAAAAACTAACCTACCAAAAAAAACCCAAAACAACCAAACCTCAACCTCTTCTACAGGTATTGAATTTCCATTGTCTTCCTACTGCCATAATGGTCTACGTCTCATAATGGGCAAATGTGGCAGCTAAGTCTGGATACCAAGTTTGTCTGGCAGCAAGAAAAACAGCAAAAGAAAGCCTTCTTGATTTCTGATAGGTGTAGAAAGGTTAAGTATGAACAATTAAAGAGACAGCTGTGATCATAGTTAAGAAACGATAGCATAGTAAAGAGGTATTAGGATGTTCTTCTAAATTATTCATGAATGTGAAAAATATTTCTCCAAATTCAGATAGATTACCAGTGTGACAAAGACCTATCTTGACAAACCTAGCAGAATTTATGGATTTCTAACACAACTAAACTATAGAACTTTAATCACAAACAACTCCATACTACCACAACTTTTATGACAAAAATGAAAGATGGAGATGTACCTGCCTAAAATCTGACTTGTTTGAAGAGTTTGCTTTCCAGAAAGAGAAGTGATCTTAGGCTAAAAATCTAAACACAGATTTAAATTACAGTATCATTACACAACTGCATTTAAGTAAAGGACATAAGAAACAGAGACATTTCCAAAATTGTTTTACAATACCAGGCAAACTAAATCTAAATTTCTGCTGGTTAAAGTCTACTCTTTCTTTTACTGAACTAATTTACAGAAATTATTCAGTATTTATTAATAGAAATTATGCAGTACTTACTTATTTTGGTGTCTTCTAAGTGTAAATTGAACAACCTGAAATCAACCTTTTATTTTCAATATAGCTAGGTTATGTTTGTTTCTATATTACTGAGTTTATTAAAAACATTTGAGAAACACTTGGATTTTTGCGTGAACTGTTACACCAACTACTGGGAGAATATTGACTCTCCGCAGAATACTGAACAGGACTTTCTACTACCAAAAAGATAATCCATATGTGTCGTCAACACTGCTTTCCAGTTGACAGAATTAATCAACATCAATATATTTCATAAGAATCCTATTCTTATAGTTGATTATGTCAGTGCAAGAATTTTAATAAACATTCTGTTATTTCGCCTGTATTATTTTTGGCACAGTTTTTGTGCTTTAGAAAAGTACATCCTTGCCCCATCATAATAATCAGTGTGTATTGGTGCATACCTTTGGTGAGAACCTGCCTGTTTTTTTCCATCATAATCAAAAGCCTATTCTAAAGGGTTGTTAAGAGTCTCACCTCCTTTGGTTTGCAGTGGTATGCCGAGAATGTCAGCCTCTGTGGACGGCTCATTGTTCGTGCTGATGCAATATAATGGTTCACCCAAGAAAGAAGGTTTCTTCAACCTTTTTGTGTCGAGGGCTCTTGACATAAAGTAACCTTCAGTAACACTCTTATCTCCCATCTTCTGTAAACCTTCTAGGTCATCAGGTTCCTCTGTCTGGGCCAGTGAATCCTTTGATAAATGACTATCAGCCAGTGCTTTGCTCATATAGTAGCCAGGGATTTCACTCTCTGCATTAACACATAAGCTTTTGTCTTCAAGTCTAGCCTTTTCCTGAGCCATTAACATCCCTACAATATGGTCTTCAACTAACATTTTGGAAAGAGTAGATGTGGAGTGAAGAGTGGAGTCTTGACTTGTGTAACAAGGGGGACTTAATCTGAAAGAAAGAGATTCCTGAGGCTTTGGCATGGTAACGTTGCTTATTGTTCTCTGAGGCTGCATACATTCTTCCAGAAGGGTCTTAAGCTGCTCTTCAGAGAGGCTCGTTTGTTCTTCAGTCTGAAAAAAAAAAAGGCAAGAATTTCTTCTGTCAAAATATAATTAATGAAAAGCAGTGCCATAAAACAGTTTGAGAAATACAAAAACACTGGCAGAACTCTTAAATTGGTATCAATGTTTTTCAATTCAAACTGCATTTAAATATACATTTACATCATTACATCATTTATGTAACATCTTCACTAGGTTCTAGAAAGATTAGATGCTGAAAGTTAGGAAAGAATTCACATGTCCACAAGGCACTGAGAAGCCTTTGATACGTCCACAGGTATCACTGCTTCTTAATTACCAAAGCATGTACTTTTCCATATGTCTCAGGTTGTTGTGTTGTACATGCAGACATACACATATGCTTTCAGATTTTATTTGCTGAAAGCAAAACAGCATATTGCTAGAAGACTTTCAGCCATTGCTGTGATGCAACTGGGGTCAAAAATGGTTTTGGACAGCACCAGCCTACAAAGGTTGTCACATATTGACTGAAGTGTTCCCAGCAGCTCACTGTAGAAATGCAACACAGCCTCTCTCAACCATGTGACAAAAAGCACATCAGTCGTTCATCTACAGGACCTACCACATCAACTGTGTCCCATGGCATGTGACAAAAGAAAGCTCCATCTTCTGTACAACAGTTTTACTACTTTCTACCAGCTGGCACTGCTCGGATAGCTCACAGATGTGTCTTTTCAGCCAATTTCTTATGCAGACACTGGCACACTCCCATCATTTTTATTATGCAAGTTTCTTTTACTAGACATCTCTTAAAAATTGATTTTAAATATAATGACTGATATGAGCTGGTAATGGTGAAGAACAGCAAAGGGGATTTTACTTAGAGAGCTTCGCAACCCTTGACGGTCCTTGGTATCAGAGAAGCACAATACTCCTTGACAATTTAAAGATTATAATGAAAAGCAGAAGGCATATTTTAGCTATGCATAATACATCTGCATTTGAAATATGCAATATAGAAGATATTTGTAACATATATTTCTATTAACAAATGTTATAGATACTATGCAACATTTAGGGCAAAAAGCTTGCTTTCTGCGACCAAAACTTCGGCTTTACACAACCTCCAAGAGACAAAGGATCAGTTGACAATCTGATGATCTCCCTGAGGCTGCAGGAATTTACATCAAACAACAATTTTATTCACTGTGTAATGTCTATTAAAAAAAATCTACTTTACATTATACTACAGCATGGAGCTAGTGTCATTTCAAAGGAAAGATTAATAACCAATGTCTAGCTGATTTCTTTTTACCTGAAGGTCTCTTACCCGATTACAGGAGTGATATAACCCTGTTTGATGGACACGATATTATGAGATCACAGCCTAAGGAGCACAAGGTGTATGGATTACGCCTGAAAACTGGTTATTCATGTTCATGAACAGGGACAGTTTTCAGTCAGGAAGGACATACCATTTTTTTGCAAAACTTGCCGTGACTAGTAAGTATTACAAGGAGACACTACAAAGTGAACAAGACAGACATTTTAGGTTTCTTTCAGTCACTATTCTGTATTTACATGCCCAAACATTAAGAATAGCTAATGGCCACTACTACAGAATGATTACTTTACAGTTTAGACACTAGCTGATGTACTTAAACTCAGTTTTATAGATTTATTCAACTTGTTAGTCTTTTCCCGCACCGAACAATTTCCTTCCCAAGGACACTTCGAGTTCACTTGCTACACACACAAAAGAAAACAACGGTATTAAAGACATTGAGATGTTAAGGGCTTTTAAACAAAACAAAACAAACCAACAAATCAACAAAAAGAGCATCACCTGAGTGTTATGTGTAGAGAGCTTTATTTAGATAAACATAAAATCAGGCAAGATATTCCACTAATCTTGCCATCAAACAATGTACTTCTGATAATATAACTGAAATCAAACCACAACCACTGATGTAGATAACAAAGCAAAAATTGTTACCTCTTCAAACTTTTCTCAGGCTTTTAAATTTTAATCCGAGTGCAGAAAGTTCTCACTGATGTAAAACAAGTCAGGGGAAAACAACTAGTAGCAAAACACTGGACAAACCAAAAGCGAAACATGGAATTTTTCAAAACTTCACTCTCAATCTAATCTACTAGCCCACACTGAATTCTTTACATTTCTCAAAGGAGTATTTTAACTTGCAGGATGATGTCTGTTTACAGGCAGGCATTATTAAAAGGGACTCACTTACAAGATGCATTCACTCAGGCAAAGCACCACAGTAACATCATTATAGCACCACTGGAAGCACAGCTGCATCTAGAGTATATCCACAGAGCAGAGTATTATGCTATGTAAACATAACTATATTTGTATCACAGAAGATTCTCACATCTAGAAATCCACATGGATTCCCACATGTTTTGAGTGTGTGGTTCTATACAAACATGTTTCAAAGCTCTTGGCCAAGATCATTTGGAGCTAATTTTATGTTAATGACAGGGCAATTCACTCACTGCAGAAAGGAATTCTGCATCTGGAGTAAATGAATGACTCAGTATAAATGAACAGTGAGGAAGATTATTCCCTCCCCCTCCCCACTTATCTGCAGTCAACTTTTCCTCATAAAAATTTAAATGGAGGAGGGTTGTAATTTTTTTTGTTTCTTGGTTTCCAAGGAATATCATATGGCTTGCACTGACAACTAATTCATAGATTGCTCTGATTACTACCAGAGTGCTAGATGGGGAGATGTAGAGGCTAAGGCAAATGGAGAGGGAAATGGATATAACAGCTATAGAGCAAAGAAGTTAGGCAAATTGTGGGCTTGTTTTCCTCCAGAGTGGCAGGCCTGCAGGCAAAGCAGACAGGGTAAAACATTTTTGTTCTTTCCTTACCTTTTCCTCCCTTTGGATTGCTTTGTAAGACATTTGCAAAGATAAGGAAGGAGAAAGTATTTAACATACCTCTCTGAAAATTACATTTAAAAATACTAATGGCTCCCTGTTTCAAATTTTCTTGTGCCAAAGTCATTTTAGGGTTAAGGAAAAGTATACAGTAGAGGAGAAGATGACTCTTAAATACCCATCAGTCACCCACTCAGCAGCAAGAAATCCACATTGAAATGAAAGCAGAAAGGCTGCTGTTAAAATCAGAAAACTTCGTTTGGGGAAACATGTAATACCCTAAGGAGAGACAGCTCACACCAAATAAGGCTGTGCGTTTGCAACTAAATGAGCATTTTAACTCCTGAGATAGCATAATACAGCAACTGTGCACGGAGTTTGCAAACTATGTATTTGCACACATCAGAAGAAATCCTGTCACAGCTAACTGTGGTAGTTTAGAGTCACAAGACTTGGAATTAATAACACAGTCTCAGGGAGACCCTAAATTCTGCTTCTCCCAAGCTTTCACTGCCCTCACTGTAAATAATTTACAACTTCTATACAGAAAAAAACCTCAAGATATTTCTTTAAAAATACAAAGACATAAAATTAGTGTAATATAAAATGCAGAAACAGACCACTAGACAAGGGAAAGTGAGCTGTTGGGTCTGGTTCCCATTAGAAATTGGAAAACCTTTTAATTGTTCTGGGTAATTTTTAATAGGACACTGAGTCCTATTCATTTGCTAGGCTTTTTACTGTTAATGATGCAAAAAACTAATTCCTAGCCAGGAGTTTAGGAGCCTGCTAACGACCTTTACTGTTTATGTGTGGCTAGATTTTCACACACTTGTGGCCCTTCTCTGACTGAAGATTTCTTGTTCCTTGCTGAATTCCTCGGTGACATGGGTCTATAAAGAAAACCTTACTGCATGTGGTAGGAATGCAAACTTGTAGATCGCTGTGGACAGACCTGCTGTGACCACAGGCTTGCAAGTTCAAAGCTTTAGGCTTGTTTTCCACATCTACACAGTAACAGAACCAGACTGGACACTCAAAGGCCTTATCAGATTTTAGCATGGGGAGAAAGTCAATATGCCAGGATTATTTCTAATTATAGTAAATAATCATAAAATGACACATAGTAAATGAATAATCACTAGAAAGCCAGGATTATTTAAGGACTCATGTAGCTGGCATGTGTATAAACATGCTTATTTTGTTGCTTAATCTGAAAGTGTTACAATCAACGGTTCTCATGACACTTCATCTGCTTGAAACAATTTACTTAAATGATATAATTTACTTTCACTGATGCATAGGACTGCAACAGTCGATTCTAAAGTAACTGCTTTTTTTCTGATGAAAAGAACCCATTTTAAGAGTATACTGATCTATTAAGACATTATGCTGACTTTTGTCATATCAGCACAATAAGGTTTCGTAAGTTTTAGTTATTTCATAGAACCATAGAATTGTCAGAGTTGGACGGGATCTTAAAGCTCATCTAGTTCCAAGCCCCCTGCCATGGGCAGGGACATCCCTCACTAGATCAGGCTGCCCAGAGCCCCATCCAGCCTGGCCTTAAAAACTCCCAGGGATGGGGCTTCCACCCCCTCCCTGGGCAACCTGTGCCAGGGTCTCACCACCCTCGTGGTGAAGAACTTCCTAACATCCAATCTGAGCCGATCCATCTCTAGGTTTAACCCATTCCCTCTAGTCCTACCACTCCCGACATCCTAAAACGCCCTCACCAGCTTTCTTGTAGCCCCCTTGAGATACTGGAATAGCTCAGCAAGCATGTTTCTGGAGAGGACAGTAGTGTGTATTGATTTGATGGTGTTAAAAATTAAGATGGAAGCTGAATAATAGATTCAGAAATCAAGAGCTCCTTTTACTACAATCACAGTTCACCTGGTGGTCCTGTGCCTATGTCTAGTTTGGGTGGATTTGGGAACTTCTGTATTGTTTTAGGGAAGACATAAGTCTTTAAGAATGAACAGGATTTATGAGCCACAGGAGAAAAATCTGCTTTTGCTCTTTTCCTCCTGATATCTTTCCTTCTGTTAGCTACATTTTCTTTTCTCTTATTTTTTCCACTGTTTCTGTTTGCAGAATGAAAAGGTCTAGTAGTCATTTTTCTGTGACTGCTGCCAGAA